GCTGGCGTCGATCTGATCGACGGCCGTATCCAGGTTGATTCCGGTTGCGGCTATCGCGACGAGGCTGCCTGCCGAAACATTTACGGCCGCTCCGTTTCCATCGGTAATGCTGCCCGGAGTGGTTAGTCTTACCGTGTCTGACAGTGCGTTGACCTTGGATACGGAGATGTTTCCCGAAGTGGTTTCAAGGTCAACATCGTGGGCCGTTCCCCCTGCCACGACATTGGTCGCAGTCATTGCGCCCCCGGAGATAACATCGATATCACCATTGGCGGTGGTGGCGTTGATGAGCACCACCGCGTCGGTTTCTCGAAGGTTGATTCCGCCGGCGCCGGTGACGCTGGCATTGATCACATCAACGGTCGTGTCGGCTTCAATCCCGGTGCCGGCTGTGGCGACGAAATTGAGCGCCAAAATGTTGATCGCCGCGGCATTGAGGTCGGCAATTGCTCCCGCACCAGAATTGAGAGCCACGTTGGTTGCCGAAATGCTGTTCGTGAGGTTGATCTGTTGCGAGGCGAAGTTCACATCGCCCGTGACGACCACAGAACCGTTGACGTCGATTTTGTCGGTGCCCGTGCCGGTTACGATGTTGAAGTTTGCATTACCGTGGGCGTTGTTCGCCGAAGCAATGGTGATCGTGTCGTTACCGTTGTTGGTGGACTTGTTGATAGAAACGGTGGTGTTGTTCCACAAGGCAACGGTTTCGATCGGAGCTCCATTGGTGGTTCCCGAGACGCGTAAAGCCGGAATCGCACCCGTGGCGAAGTCGAACCCATTGGCGACCGTGAGCACGTCGTCGGCCCCGGCCGGTGTGATGTTCACAGTGGCCATGCCGGTGATGTCGACAGGTTCCAGGCCGGTGAAGTCGACCGTTCGCCCGGAGACGGTAACCTTTCCTGCCCCTGCAGTAGTAGCGCTGGGCTGATAGGAAACCGTGTTTCCGTTGCCGAAGAATGCCAGGCGGTCGCCGTTAGGTCCCTGCGCACCACCGTCGTAGATCAGGCCGCCGGTGGGGATGGGATTGCCGCCAGCGTAGTTCACCACCAGCGCGTCGTCGCCACCTCCTCCGTTGAACTCAAACATCGTCGTGTTGGGGTAAAGAACATGCGTCACCCCGTCGAACGTAAAGCTCGGCACTCCGCCGGTATGTCCGAGCGTTACCGTGTCGTCACCGCCATCTCCGTTGATAATAATCTTGTTCGCATCGACCAAAGCAGTTGCAGGCGTGCCGGTCACCGACCCTCCAAAGGTAACGGTGCCCAAGTCGGCCACAAATTCGATGCCAGCACCTTGCAGCAGCAAGTTGTGGTTGAATGTTTGATCGCCAGTAGTATGAAACGACAAACCCGCATTGACGACCAGTTCGGCGGTGGTATTCGAGGTTAGGTTTGCCAATGCAAAATTGCTTCCTATGTTGTCGCTGAAACCTCCGCTGAGAATCCCTCCGTCTAGCAAGAGCGAACGGGCAGTTGCATCTTGCGAATCAATCGTTCCATAAAAAAAGAAACCGTTGCTCGAAAGATGCACGTCGCTGGCCAGGACTAGTGGTCCTTCGTATGTCTGCCCTAATGTTGTCGTCACAGTAGGTTGCACGGTATCGGCAACGTTGAATACAGTCTCGGAAGTCGAGAATGCGACAAGATGTTTCAACGGGTTGATGGAACCTATGTAGTCTGCGCCCCCATCCCCGAATCCTGTCACGCCCGTCGTGTTAAGTGAAAGACCACGGGCTACTCCGCCATTGCTGTCGATCGTGCCAAGGAGCCGGAGGTCACCACCTCCGCTGCTCTTCAGAGCTACATCAGCGGTCAGCACCACGGCATCGGCATAGGTTTGGCCCAAGCTTGTGTTGATGTCCAGTCCCAGCCGCGTGGTGTCGTTCCCATTACCGGCGTCGACATCCACAGTTTGAAGCGAAGTGAACAGCGACGGCAGCATCTGCGTCAGATCGACGGTGTTGTCGAAGTTGCCGGTGAACCCGTTGATTTGCAGGTTGGTCACTGTGTTGGCAGCCACCACAGGCCCGCCGCCGGGGTTAATGCCCGGGGCACCGTTGACCGAGATCAACACATTCGTTCCATCTTGAGTGATGGCGATGTCGTCGTCGGCATCGCTCGAGACGCTGAGCGTGCCCGCGATGAAGCTCGATGTCACCGTCAACAGTTCTCGCGACTCGAGCCATTCAACATGGCCGAGGTGAGATGAAGGTTGGCGCAAAAAACGCCTCGATAATTGGCGACGTCTTGAACGACGGTTCGCCTGGTGTCCAGCGCGCGACCGCATAGTCCGGATGCCTCTTCACTCGACGGCCCGATACGAAAGCCAGCCCGCTCTCGCTGTTCCGGTGCGTCCACAGGGGGGAAAGAGAAGAACAAGATGCATCCGTTCACTCTATGTACGCGCAACAGCCGACGCAAACAATTTGTCTTCCCTGTGGGGGTGTATCCAGAAAAGCCGTTACAACCGGTTTCTCAACCGGAAATGCCGCTGCCGAGGAGGTTTCCGGCCAGCCGCTCGCGATGGTAACAGGCATCGCCCAGCAGGATTTCAGAGGCCTTGGCCCGCTTGTAATACAGTTGCAGATCGTGCTCCCAGGTGAAGCCGATCCCCCCGTGCACTTGCATGCCATGATCGCAGAGCACTCGGGCTGCATCCGAGCAATAGGTCTTGGCGATTGAGGCCGCGCTGCTGGCTTCCGGGTGGTTCTCGGTAAGCATCCATGCGGCGTAATACGTGGCCGAGCGGGAGCTTTCCAACAGCAGCAGCATGTCGGCACAACGATTCTGCACGGCTTGAAACGACCCGATGGCCTTGCCAAATTGTTGCCGCGATTGGGCGTATTCCACCGTGGTTTCTAATACCCACTGCATCACGCCCAGCAGCTCGGCACAGGTGGCCACCGTGGCGATGTCGGCGGCGCGTTGCCACCGGGGTTCGAGGTCTTCCCCGGCCATCAGGCAAGCATCGGCCGGGACCTGGACTCCCTCGAAGGTGACGTCGTTGAGTTTTCGCGTGGCATCAATCCCTGGAGTGGGGTTGATCGATACCCCGGCAGCTTCGCGATCGACCACCAGAATGGCATGCCCCTGATCGGTACGAGCCACGACCAGAATGTGGTCGGCCACCGCCGCGTCGAGGACGAATCGTTTGCTGCCATCGAGGACGAATCCGTCCTCTGTCCGTCGGGCCGTAAGTTGAACCCCATCCAGCGACCACTCGGCTGACTCTTCAAGAAGTGCCACCGTTGCAATGGCCTCACCCGTGGCCATGGCCTGCAACAAGGCATCGCGCTTCGGCGATGCGTCGCACGATTGAAGCAAACTCGAGGCCCAAAGATTGGCCAACCAGGGACCGGGCAGGCAGGCCCGTCCGGCCTCTTCGGCAGTGACCGCAACTTCGACGATACCCAACTCTAGGCCGCCAACACTTTCAGGCAACGTGATGGCCAGCCATCCCTGCTCGGCAATACCGTTCCACAGTTCGCTATCGAACGCGGTCTCGGTATCCATGATCGAGCGTACCCGCGACGTGGGGCATTTCTTGGACAAGAACGCCCGCGCGGCCTGCTGCATCATCTTCTGGGTATCAGAAAGATCGAACTCCATAGGACACTTCTCAGATTTCTTGCTTCAGTCGGTAGATGTTTTCGTTAATTCGGAGCAGTCCCGTTTGGGATCAATAGCTGCGTGGCAGCCCTAGCACGCGTTGGGCGATCACGTTTCGCTGCACTTCGCTGGTGCCCGCTTCAATCGTGTTCCCGCGAGCCCGCAGATAGTTGTAAGCCCAACTACCGCCGTCGAACTCCGACAACTGTGCTTGAGGGCCAAGAATCTCCATGGCGGCCTGGCACAACCGCTGGTTGTATTCGCTCCAGTACAGCTTTTGAATCGACGCCTCGGGGCCCGGCATGCCGGTCTTCATCAGTTGCGACAGGGCTCGCAAATTGTTCAGGCGGAAGACTTCCAGTTCGACATGAGCTTGAGCCAGCTTTTGCCGCACGCTGGAATCTTCAGCCAACGGTCGACCACCGCGCTTCATGGTCTTGGCGTGTTCGACCAGCGAATCGACCGTGCGGCGGAACATGGCGTAGAGACCCGCTCCCAGGTTCGCCCGTTCGTTCATCAGCGCGGTGAGCGCCACTCCCCACCCGTGATCGACTTCGCCTAGCACGCTGGTGGCCGGCACTCGCAGGTCGGTGAAGAACACCTCGTTGAAGACCGCCTCGCCCGACATCATTCTCAATGGGCGGACTTCGATGCCCGGCGATTTCATATCGACCAGCAAGCAGGTGATGCCCTTGTGTTTGGCGGCGTTCTGATCGGTTCGCACCAGCAACATGCAACGGTCGGCGATGTGCGCGAAGCTGGTCCACACCTTTTGACCGTTCACGACGAAGTCATCGCCATCGCGGACGGCGGCCGTCGAGAGCGAGGCCAGGTCGCTTCCGGCGTTGGGTTCAGAGAATCCCTGGCACCAGATATCCTCGCCCGAGAGGATCTTGGCCAGATACTTCTCTTTCTGTTCATCCGTTCCCGCGGCGATGATCGTGGGCCCGACGAGCGAAAGCCCAATCACGCCGATCTGCGGAGGGGCATTCGCGGCGGCCATCTCTTCGTGCAGAATGGCCTGCTGCATGTAGCTGGCCCCACGCCCACCATATTCCTTCGGCCAAGCGATGCCCGACCAGCCACCGGCGAAGACAGTCTGCTGCCATTGCCGCAGGTATTCGAGATAGCCAGGGTCGGTTTCGTTCCCGCCAGAAGTCTCTGGCCACGGCTCGGGAAGGTTCTCTTTCAGCCAGGCCCGAAGTTGTGTGCGAAATTCTTCTTCGCCAGGGGTGAGGTTCAGATCCATAGGTCTCGTCGTTCGTCGCTACAAGCCGCCTAAACATGTTGGATACCAGCCCTGCCCTGACCGATTCAGCAGCTTAGTGTAACCCAAGCCGCACGGCCATGCCCGACAAACAGGGTTCGGGGCCTGATCCAAGACGAAACCACTTATTCAGCCACGTCCTCAGCCGGGGTGTATTCCCTCAGCAAAGTGGCCTCGATCTGGGCGGGCGTGAATGCCGCCGGCTTCATGCGGCCCGTGGCGAACAGCTCGGCCTGATCGTTGAAATGCGGCGACTGCGGATCCTCGCTCTGGCTATAGCCGACGACGGTGTAGGCCTTCGGCTCATCACCAAATTCGACGGCGAAGACCCAACTATCTCCACCGCTTACCACCTGTTTGCCGTCCTCCGCGTTACTGAAACCCAGCACGCGAAAGCAGCCCAGGAATCCACTGCCGCCGGAGACGGGCAGATCCACTTCGCCCTGCCGCAGACGGTGCACTTCGCCCCAGGCCACGTCCCAACTGCCATAGCGATCTTCCACCTCGCTCATTGCAGTAACAAGGGCCGCCATCGCCCGGGCCGGGTTCTCGATCCCCCGCGGTGTGTCGACCGGTGCTTGATCGCTCCAGCCTTCGGCGAAACCACGAAAGCGACCATCGGGCGAATAATGGTTCCACCACGTGGCGAACAGCACACTCCCCCGGGTTTCGGCCCCAGCGGTGTTGTCCCAGTTCTTCAACAGTTGCACCGCTTCGGCCACTTCGCCGGAGGGCTGCTTCGCGTTGATCGTCGCGAGCAAGTCATCCTTCAGTCGCTCGGCCAACAACATCCGCGGGCTGTACTTCGCCGCGACCAAATCTTCCAGCGAGAACTTCTGATCGTTGTGCACTAATGACAAACAATGTTGTGTCCGCAGTCCCAGATAATCATCGGGAAAGTACTGCGGGAAGTCGCTTCGCTTCAGCGGTTCGTACAAATTCGTGAAATACGGCGGCGAGTTACAGTTCTGCACGTAGCCGCCCTTGGGGTTGAGCAACTGGGGGAGTTCTTCAACCGAGTGAAACTCCGTCCACACATCGTCCGAAGCACGAGCCTCGACCGGCTCAATCGTATGCGCCGCGTGAGGTAACTTCGGCACCGCGCCGTTCCACAGGTAGAAGATGTTCCCCTCACGATCGGCATAACAAATGTTGAACATCGGGATGGCCCCAATCCGCAGAGCCTCCTGAAACTGCTCGAAGTTCTGGGCCTGGGCCAGCCGCAACCACTGCTGATAGAAGCGAAACTCGTCGTACGCCGACGAACGAAGGACATAGATCCTCTCGGGCGTACGGTGAATCACCGGTCCCAGCGGCGTGTACCAGAACGTGGCTTCTCGATAACGGGTTTCTCCGCGAACATTCACCGGGATGGTTACTTGTGATTCCTCGATCGGCACCGAGGCCCCATCAAACAGATAACGGTGCGGCGAATCTGGATCGACATCTAGAGCGTAGATCTCCTCCAGGTCGGGGTAGTTCACCGTGTGTGACCAACCCAGGTTGTGGTTGAACCCGGTGGTAAGCACCGGACGCCCGACGAACGTTGAGCCGTAAAAATCGAGAACGTCGGGCACCGTGAGATGGGCTTCGTAATAGGTGGCCACCTGCGACCAGGGCTGGTGTGGATTGCCCAGCAACATGGCATGGCCCGAGGTGGTTCGCGACGGGGCCAGGGCGATCATGTTCGAGCCCGTCTCCCGCTCATCGAGCATCGGGCGCAGCGACTGGGTGACGGCCTGCTGCTGCCGCAAAAACCCTTCGACAATCCGCCCTCGATCGAACGCAAAGCGTGCCACCCCCGTCAGCCCATGGGCTGCCACATCGTGCGGCGTTACCGTGGGAACCCACTCAGTCACTTCGTCGCGATGGTGTTCGACGTAGTAGTTCAATCCCTCGGCATAACCGACGAGCATGCTGCGGAAGTCGGGGTCCAACTTGTGAAAGGTTTCGGCCGCTCGTTCTGGCACACGAAACTGCCGCACCCACAGGTCCGACTGCACGTTGTCCTCACCGCCGAACGTGGCCGCCAGTTCGCCGCGTGCACGCAGCAAACTGTGCATGATGTTCAACAGATGATCTTCTGCCTGACAGTAGGCCAAGCCAAAAGAAACCGCTTCCAGCGTGGGGGCTTCGATGTGCGGAACGCCATACTCCGTGCGGCGGATGGTCACTTGCTCGGCAAGGTCATCAGCGTGATCGGCCCGCGCCGGCGCGGGCGCAAGACTTGTGGTAAGCAACAGGGCGACCGCCGCGAAACACTTCCCCACTGAATGCGTCATCTGTTTCATCACGTAGCCCTGCGAAGAGAGGTCGAGCCGGATGGCTCATTGGGCCCCCACTACTTATTGGGCATTGTGAACGCAACGAATCGCCAGTTCCAACCGTTTCACGTCGATTTCCGGCATTTCCATCTGCAGGCGAACCAGATCGAGCCGTGCGGGGGAGTTCGGCAACTCCGCCAGTCGGGCGAGTCTCGCTGGCGGCATCAACCATTCGGCTTCCACCCGCCAGCCGGCCCGCATCGCGCGAGACGTATGGCGAATCACCTCGGAGATTTCCATCCGGCGGATCGTTGCACACTCTTCGACTGTGAACCCATCGTGCAGCAGTCGCCACGTCCAGTAGTGAGGACCGGCCTCTTCATGAGGCTCGCTTTCGTCTTCGAACAGATCTTCCGCAGGGGCGGCCTCGTAATCGTAGGCCTCTTCCTCATACGATACGGAGGCCATCGCCTGGGCCTCATCGAAGTCGGTGAACGATAATTGCGGTGAAGCTGGCTCCTCAACAGGAGTAGTAGTTTTCACCGGCTCTACTTCTGCGTCGGCTGTTACCTCCTCGGGTTCTGTGACAACGGGGGCCGCAGCTTCCACCGGCTCTTCCTCTGCCGGTGCATCGGTTTCCGCTGCGGGGTTCAACAGCTCCAGTAGAGCATCGCCGTATTGATCGAGCTTGGCCGGCCCGATACCCGAGATTTGCGAGAGTTCGTCAATGGTTGTAGGGCGGTGTTGGGCCAATTCTGAAATGGTGGCGTTGGTCACGATGCGGTAAGCCGGCACCTTTTGCGTTTCGGCCAGGTCGCGTCGCCACTTCTGAAGTTGACCCAACAGTTGCGACTCTGCCATCGATTCTTCAATCGAGGTGCTTTCCTCGGCTGCGTCGGTGCCCGCGCTTTGAACAATGCGTGCCACGCGGGTGCTGAGGGCCGCGAACTTGGCCGGAATATCAATGTCGCACTTTGCGGCGTCTTGCAAAACTTCCTTGCCCGAGTCGGTCACCGCCAGCACAGGGCGGAAGCGTTCGTGCTCGACCTGCTCGACATAGTCAACGCCGATCAACCAATCGAGCAGTTCAGCGACGTCGGTCTGCTTCAATTCGCTCAGCAGTCCGAAGGTGGAGAGCCCCTCCAGGCGAAGTTTCTTCATCTTGCTGGAGGCCGAACCACACAGCATTTGGGCGATGACCTGTTTGCCAAACCGTTCCGAACATCGCATCACGCCAGAGAGTGCAATCTGCAACAGCATCACCGCGCCCGGCGACGTGGCAGCCGCAGCTTGAGGGCCCGACTTCTTGGTTGCCAGGCAGTTATCGCAACGGCCACAGATGGCCGCCTCCGGGTCGCCGAAGTATTCCAGCACGATCAACTGCCGGCACTGGCGACTGCGGGCGAACTCCATTACCCGTCGCAGCTTGTCATGCTCGGCTTGTCGCCGCTCCTCCAAGGCTCGCAGGTCGAGGTTCAGTTCCTGCAGGGTCCGCTCGCGCGCGAGCAGTTGAATGGCACGCCCGCGAAACGGAGGGACATAAGTAAAACCACCCACCTCGCGCAGTTCGCGTAGGGTTCGCGACAACGCGGTGGGCGTCATGTCGAGCCGCTCGGCGAGCGACTGCGGACTGAAATAGACGTCTTCGCCCCGCCGTGGACCGACCACCTGTTCGATGGCTTGCATCACCCTTCGGCGAACCTTTGCGGTGCGAGGCAGTACATCAACCAGCGTGTGCAGTTGGCTGTCGATCCGCACCACGGCCATGTTCTGTCGCGAGTCGAGACGTCGCAGCGCCCCGGCCCGTTCGAGCACCTGTTCGCAACTTCCCACCGCTTCGGCCCCCAGCGATAGCCCGAGCACGGCCTTGATCTCTTCCTGCGTTTGCTCGATGGGGTCGTCGGTGAGGCTACGCAGATAGTTGTAGACCTGGGCCACCACGTCGGCCGGCGGGTACGAGGTGTCGATGAAGAACTCTTGGATGTAGCGGTCGCCGGCGTTGTACAGCAGCAGGCAGCGCGAGGGCAGCCCGTCGCGGCCCGCGCGGCCGGCTTCCTGGTAGTAGGCCTCCAGTGTACCGGGCAAGTTGTAATGCACGACGAATCGCACGTCGGGTTTGTCGATGCCCATGCCGAAGGCGTTGGTGGCCACCACGATTTCAGACCGCCCGGTCATGAAGTCTTCTTGAGCCCGTTGACGAGTCTCGACATCGAGGCCCGCGTGGTAGACCGTCGTGCGGCGATCGGTCTCGCTGGTGATCACCTCGGCCACCTCTTCGCACCGCTTGCGGGTCGAAGCGTAGATGATGCCCGAGCCGGGCGTTTGGCGGAGAAAATCGATGAGATGCGCCTGCTTCTGCACCAGGCTGCCGGGCGACGCTACTTCGTAAGAGAGGTTCTCCCGGGCAAAGCCGGTGATGTACACACGCGGTTCGGCCAATTGCAGTTGAGCCACGATATCGTCGCGAACCGTTTGCGTGGCGGTAGCTGTGAGGGCGATGGTGGGCGGGGAGCCGATCCGCTGGCGAACGTCACCCAGCCGGGCGTAGTCGGGGCGGAAGTCGTGCCCCCACTCGCTGATGCAGTGGGCCTCATCGATGGCCAGCCGACCCACTCCAGCCCGGGCGAGGGCCGCGAGAAACCGCCCGCTGCGAAACCGCTCGGGAGCAACGTAGACCAAATCGAAATCGCCCGCGGCGATGCCCTCCAGCCGGGCTTCGACTTCGTCGGCCCCTAGCATGCTGTTGATGCAAGTGGCCTGCAGCCCCAGCGCCTGCAATTGATCAACCTGATCTTTCATCAGGGCAATCAGCGGAGAGACCACCAGTGTGAGCCCCGCCCCGGCGATTGCCGGCAACTGGTAGCAGAGGCTCTTCCCCCCGCCGGTCGGCATGACGCACAGACAGTCTTCGCCGGTCAGCACCGAATCGATCACGTCCCGCTGCCCCGGGCGAAACTCCTTCAGCCCGAACCGCGAGAGAAATTGTTCAGGCGAAGTGGCAGTGGACATTGCGCAACAGCTTCACGAGACCCCAAAAAGACGATGACCGCCCGCATTGTAGTGGCGGTGCGGGGGACGTGCCAAGCAGTGTGATAGCGGTAGAGATCAGTAAGTTGCTATGAGGGCGTTCCCTGCAGGCAGATGGAGTTCGAAATGCATGGTTCTCCACAAAAAAACTCCGGCCCATCGCGTGGATGAGCCGGAGTGTGAGATTTTTATGTCGGCCACTGGCCGCGATATTCGCTGGCAGCTTACTGGTCGTCGCCCACTTCTTTGGCGATGGGGGCGAGGATGTCGACTGCGGCGGGTGGGAAAGCCTCGGGCTCGGTGCTCCAGAAGCTAACCACGGCCGGTTTGCCATCGATGGTGATCGGTACATGCAGGCTGGAACGCAAGCGAGCGGTCATCGCTGACATGTCGACCGAGTTTAATTCGGCCAGGCTGGCGTTCACGATCGGTTCGTCGGCACCGCAGTACTCAGCGAGTGCAGAGCTGTCGGCATCGAACGTGACTTCAGTCTGTCCCAACGAAGCATTCAGCACGGCGGCCTGGGCCACGCGGGGGAAAACAACCTTCCCATCTTCCACCGTAGCGATACACACGCGATCGATCTGCGGCACGATCTTCTGCGATCGCTCCCAGAACTTCTGCATCTCGTCCGGGTCGCGCATCACGCGGGCGGCGGCCCTGGTGAGCAGCGAGGAGATTCGCGGCGGACCTTCTTCCATTGCTTCGAGGAACCGCGTGGTTCGCCAGTACGAACGATCGAGTTTGGAATAGTCGATGTCGTTCGAGTCGTTGAACCACCCGATCATCATCTCTTCCCAGGTCTGGTCGCCCCAGGTCACATCCTGGGTGGGGTCGGGGTTCGACAGGTTGTCCGACGAGTTGTCGAAGTGGGCATAGCACTTCAACGTGGAACCCGCCGGCACGAACTTCGGCTCGGCCAACTCGTAGACCATTTGCCAGTTGAAGTCGTAGTTTGGCACGTTCAACAAAGTTTCAACCGTGCCATCGGGATATTCGAGATCGTAGCGGAACGCTTTCCCACGCAGGTGCATGTGGGGGGCGAAGTTGAGAATCAACGTGTCCTCGCGGAACGTCCGTTCGGCATTCACGGGGTGGTTGTCCGCGCCGGCCGGGATATTGAAGCCCACGTTGATCGTCATGTTTGTTTTGACGCGGTGACGAACATCCTTCGGATCGGCGTATTTGAACCCGACCGCCGTGCGATCGGTCACTTCGTGTCCAACAGGCGTGTAGTGCATCTGGAACAGCAGTTTGGTACCGGCTTCGCAGAAAGCAGCCATACCGTCGATGTGGTAATCCATCGGCGGTGTACCGGGGGCCGCACCGGCGATCAACTGAGACAATCCGCTGGAGAATTCACCGCCGCGTACCCGGGGGCCTTCCCAGGGTTCCATGTTCATGTCCGGCGGAATGGCGAACACGAAGATGTGATGCACCACCGCGCGATTGTCGATCAGGCATTCAGACGAGTCGATCCACTTGTCTTCGGTCCAGCCCGGATCGACGTAGAAGTATTGGTACTCCACGCTGCCCTCGGCCGGCACGGTGTAGGGCTCGGGGCTCATGTAGAACACTTCGTCCGGTTGGCCAGCCTGCCAGCCGGTGGGATAGTCCTTCGGTTCGGGCAACTGATCGGGATCGCCCAACGGAGCACCATTATCGACCCAGGTGTACAACAGGTCCTTCTCTTCGCTGGTCATGCTGCGATCGTTGGCGAAATGACCATACTCCGGATCGGCGTGCCACGGTGGCATGCGTTGCTGCCGTACGACTTCTTCAATCATCTCGGCCCAACCCACCACGTCTTCGTAATTGGTTAGCGAGAAGGGAGCAATCTCGCCTGGGCGATGGCATTCAACACAGTGATCCTGCAAGATTCGCGAGATCTGATCGGCATAGGTCACGCTGCTGTCGTCCGTCACTTCACGAACGCGACCAATGATGCAGCCGGGTGCTTCGGTGAAAGGTTCCAGAACCGGCTTGCCGGCCAGCAGTTGATCGAGGGCATCGGCCAGGTGACTGCGGCGGACGTCTTTGTTGGCATATCCCATGCTTGCCTCGTCGATGCCGAACTTGTCATCGACGCGGCCCATGTATTGCACCGTGCGGTTTTCATCCAACACGAACACCTGCGGAGTACGCTCGGCGGCGAACTGGTCGGCCACCTCGTTGCCCACGTCTTTCAGGAGTGGGAACTCAATATTCAGCACGCGGGCGTAGTTGGCGATCTCGCTGATCGAGTCTTGCCGGTTGGAATACACGCCCAGGAAGGTCACTCCCTGCGGGCCATACTCATCGGCCAGGGCCTGCAAGCGGGGGCCGTACAGCTTGGCCAACGGGCATTCGGTGCCCAGGAACGCGACCACCACCGCCTTGCTGTCGGCGTAGTCTTTCAGGTCGTGCCATTCGCCGCGGAAATCTTGTAGTGAGAAGCTATCGATGTGTTGACCGAGCGTGGATTTCGCCTCGTTCTTTTCGGCCGCCAGCGACGGGGTCGCCAAGGCGACCGCGATGATCATCGTGGTCAGGGTTCTCATCTCCAAGTCTCCTAGCCGTTCGCTATATGTGCTGTAAGTTGTTGAATAGTTTGTGGTTGGTCGCCGGAAATACGGTTGCGAATGCACCCCCACCGGGCCGAAATCCACCCCCGCTGGGCCGAAATCGCAGTGCGGCCAGATGTCGCACCCCTGTATTGATTATTGTCACAATCCAAGGGCTCGGGACATTATTTTCGTCTATAAGAGCACTACCCAAGCAATCCGCGTTCCGATTCAAGTTTCGACCAGAACGCGATTTACGCCGCCGCCCGAGGGAGCTGTGAGGGCGGCAAGGATATCAAAGCGTCTCGAATCCGGCAGCGCGAATACGACGGCTGTGGTGGCCAGTAAACCCCCGTTGGACGGGCAAACGGGCCGAACCAGTAGCGGCAAATTCCTCTGGGCCGAATCGGATCTGGTGCTAGCAGTCTAGCTTCAGACCTTCTCTTCCACCGGTGGCTGGGCGGCCGGCTTGGGCTCTCCGTGACCACGCCAGTGCTGCATCGTGGTGTTGGTGCCGAAGATCTTGCCAATCGAGTCGAGCATCCGCGTCGGGACCACGCCCAGCATCATGGGGGCCAGGCGGGCCAGCAGCGGCTCGATCACCATCGGCTTGTTTCGTTTCACTCCGGTGACCACGCAGTCGGCAATTCGCTCGGGCGTGAGCATCTTCATGCCCTTCGGCTCTTTCACGCCATCGAACATGCCGGTGCGAATGTAGCCCGGGCAAACGGCCGTCACGCCGACGTGCGCGTGCCCCAACTCGATCAGTTCCTGCCGGATTGATTCTGAGAACCCAACCACGGCCCACTTGCTCGACGCATAGGTTGAGCCGAACGGCAAGCCCACGAACCCGCTGACGCTGGCGATGTGTACGATGTGGGCCTCATCGCGGCTGATCAAGTCGGGCAGAAAGATATGCGTCATCGCCACCAGGGCCAGCGTGTTCACCTGGTAAGTCTGTAGGTGCTTCTCCAGCGGAACGTTCAGGAACGCCCCTCCGCTGACCACGCCCGCGTTGTTTACCAGGCAATCGATGGGACCGACGGTGTTGTTGATCTCGTCGCGAACATCGCGAATTTGATCGTAATCGGTCACGTTCAACGGAAAGGTGTGCGCTTCGCCCCCCGCTGCGCGAACGTCGCTTGCCAGTTGAGGCAGCGAATCGACGTTCATGTCGGTGCCAATGATCACCGCCCCCTCGCGGGCGAAAGCCAGCGATTGAGTTCGGCCGATGCCGTGCCCTGCCCCCGTGACGAGAACGCGCTTACCTCGCAGAGTCTTCATGGCTTTCTCCCGACAGTCCGGCTGTCGCCGGTTGTTTCGCACCCCAAACATTCACCCACCGTAGCGCGTCGAACGCCGGAACTCTTCGATGACCCTACCGTTCTTCCGTTTCACCAAAGGGCTGGCCCGCAGTTGATTGGCCAGTTTTTCGCGACGTTCTTCCAGGTTCTCGTCGTCGTACTCATCGACCATCGACCCGAACTGGCTCGTATGGCACGCGGCGGCCTTGGCCTTTTGCTCGGCCACCTCGGTGATGTCCACCGTGTAGTTTGGTTGGGCCGAATAATAAAGGAACGCCAACGGCACAATATAAGGCTTAAACCCCTCGCGCTCCAATTCTGGGAAGTACAACCGCCAGGCTGCGGCCCGCATGGCATCGACCGTGACCAAGGCGCCGGCCCGATGGTCTGATTTGTGCCACTGTTCGTAGGGGGCGCCGGGGTCGATGGAAAACACCGCGTCGGGGCGATGACGTCGGATCTCGCGGGCGACCTGCATTGTGAGTTCTTTCTGATCGACGTATTCCAACATCCCGTCGTCGTGCCCCAGCCAGGTGATGTTCTCGGCCGGGATACCCAACACCCGGCAGGCGTCTTCTTCTTCCGCCTTGCGAATGGCGGCCAGTCGCTCGCGGGTCATCGTGGGATCGTTCGACCCCGCGTTGTCGGTGGTGTAAATCAGAATCTGAATGTTGTTCCCGTTCGCAGCCAACATGGCGAGGGTACCGCCGGCACTGAAGGTCTCATCGTCGGGATGCGGTGTGACGACCAGCACGGTCTTGTCCTTCCATTCCTCGATGCGGTCGTTGCCCTTGTACTCTGGTTCGGCCGTGGCGATTTGGGCCTCGGCCCGCGGAGCGAGGCAAACCGTTAGCAGGCAAAGTAAACAAATCGTCAGACGCGAGATGGGCATGGAGCTTTGGCAGGCGGGGGCGAACGCTGGCATTGCTTTCTTCCTCAGTTGTTCAAGGACGCGCGGTTATCTCTGGGATTGTAATTGACGGGGCGGGCCCTTGTTGGGAGAAGACTTCTCGCGGAGTATTCACACACCTCGGCTTGCCGGGTGACTATGCTCTTATAAGGCGCTCTCATGAGGCCACCTTCAGCACTCTGAATCGCTTGCCCCAGAAAAATTTTCTGCCCCACCCCCAATAAACCTCCCGCGGCGGCGAACGTACGAGGGTTGCCCTACCCAACTGCGACCTCTGCTTGCCCCCGGTTCCCTCAGAAACTCTGCCAGGTTGGAGACATCAAGACGATGCGATGCGTGCAGCCCCCCCACCAAATATCGCCCCCCGGGCTTGGCCGATCTGGCAGATTAATCACCGCAATCCCAATGGCCACAATCGCCCTGGCGATGCTGCTCGCTCCATGCGTTGCACTGGCTGAGGGGAACCCAGAGAAGGCCGACGCGCCTACGCCGGTGAATTCCCACGTCGAGAACTTCGAACTGCGCGACTGCCGCGGGAAGGCAGTTGCCCTGGATGATGTCCGCGACGCGAAGGTGGTGGTGTTGGCCTTCTTGGGGGTCGAATGCCCGTTGGCCAAGCTGTATGCCCCGCGATTGGCGAGTTTGGACGAAAGGTTCGCCGACGAAGACGTGGTGTTCCTGGGGATCGACTCGAACCAGCAAGACTCGACCACCGAGATCGCGGCCTTCGCCCGGCGGCATGAAGTTTCGTTCCCCATACTCAAGGATGTTGGCAACGTCGTGGCCGACAAACTGGGGGCTCGCCGCACGCCCGAGGTGTTCGTGCTGGATGAGGCACGTGTGGTCCGCTATTGGGGGCGGATCGACGACCAGTACGGCTTTACTAAAGCCAACGCGAACTATCAGAAACAGAAGCCCGAACGAAACGACTTGGCAGTAGCTGTTGAAGAACTACTGGCCGGCAAGGAAGTCTCGCAGCCGGAGATGCCTTCGCCGGGATGTCTGATCGGTCGCATTCGCACTTCGGAAGAAGACGCCGCGGTGACGTACAGCGATCAGATCGTTCGGATCTTGAATGACCGCTGTGTGTTTTGTCATCGTCCGAATCAAATCGCCCCCTTCTCGCTGACCAACTACGACGAAGCGGTGGGTTGGGCCGAAATGATTCGCGAGGTCACCCAACTGCGTCGCATGCCGCCGTGGCACGCCGACCCCGAGGTCGGACACTTCGCCAACGACTCCCGGCTCACCGACGAACAACTCACGCTCATCGAACAATGGGTCGCCGCCGGAGCCCCCGAAGGCGACCCTGCCGACTTGCCCGCGGCCCCTGAGTTCGCCGAGGGTTGGCAGATTCCCGAGCCCGATGAAGTCATTTACATGGGCGAACCGTTCGACGTACCGGCCGACGGAACGGTCGAGTATCAACACTTTGTGGTCGATCCCGGCTGGACGGAAGACAAATGGATCAAGTCGGTCGAGGCCCGGCCCGGCAACCCGGAAGTGGTGCACCACATCCTGATCTTCGTTCGCACCCCCAGCGAGATTCGCCGCGGAGGTCCCGGACAAATCGGCACCGAGTGGCTCGCCGCTTACGCTCCGGGGATTCGCCAAGAACCGCTACCCAAGGGCATGGCCCGCTTCGTTCCCGCGGGCTCCCAGCTCATCTTCCAACAGCACTACACCCCCAACGGTTCGCCGCAGACCGATCGCAGTTATTTGGGCGTGGTGTTTGCCGACAAAGAGGAGATTCGCAAAGAGGTCGCCGTGGCCAGTGCGGGCAACTACGCGTTTCGCATTCCGCCGAACGACCCCAACCATCGCGTCGAGTCGACGTTCACCTTCAGTCGCAACGGACTGTTGCTCTCGCTGATGCCGCACATGCACCTGCGAGGCAAAGACTTCAGCTTCGAGGCCCTCTACCCCGATGGCAGCAGCGAGATGCTGCTTTCGGTCCCGCAGTACGACTTCGGTTGGCAAACGATTTACTCCCTGGCCGAACCCAAGCCCATGCCGGCGGGAACCAAACTGAAGTGTGTGGCTCACTTCGACAATTCAGACGACAACCTGAACAACCCCGACCCGTTGGCCACCGTTACCTTTGGTGAGCAGACCTGGGAAGAAATGATGATCGGCTTCTTCGAGATGGCCTTGGCCGATCAAGACTTGATCGAAGAGCGCGAAAACTACGTCTCCCGCGTCGACCAGTTCCGCACGTTGTTCAAAGTGAACGGCACCAACTTCGACGACACCACACGCTTAGCTTGCCAGCACGCGCTGGAAGACGAAGAGATGTTCGATCGCTTCGCCTTCGTGCTGAAGAACATCTTGCCGCAGGTCGACCGCGTTTGTGCCACGTATCTCGACGAAGACAATCGTCTGCGGCTGTATCAAATCGAAGAACGCCCGCCGTTTCGTGGTTCGTTCCGCGGGACCTTCACCCGCTACAAGCCCGAGGGTCAGGCGTTGGCCGCGTACATCGATCGCGATGACCTGGTTGTGGTCGACGATTTGTCATCCGAATCGGGTTCGTTGATGCAGAAGATGCACGACAAGGGCATCCGCTCGAGCGTGCATGTGCCGCTGCAGTACGAAGGCTTCCGTGGCACGCTGAACTTCTGGAGCCTCGACGAAAACGCCTTCCCGCCGGAGGCCGTGGAGGTAATTCGTCAGGTCGTGTCGTCGATTGAATGAGTTGCTCACGGTTCCATTGACCGCGCCAGGGTGCGATAATCAATCCTTTCACGGTTGATGTGGCACTTGGGGGGAAGATTCAATGGCATGTTCGCGGCGCGAATTTCTGCAGACGGGACTTTCGGTGGCTCTCGGCACGGGGGCGATTGCAACCGGGGCGTTCTCGCCGAGTCGCGTGTTCGCTGCCGACGCCGACTTGCCACCGGTGCGCACGATTACCCGCCAGCCGGGGTTCCATTGGTTCGGCTATTACGACAAGCTGCAGTTCGACCCTTCAGGCCGTCGCGTGCTGGGGATGGAGGTCGACTTCGAGCACCGCTCGCCGCGCCCTGACGATGTGATCAAGGTTGGTATGATCGATCTCGAGGACGACGATCGTTGGACCGAGTTGGGCACCAGCCGAAGTTGGGGCTGGCAACAGGGCTGCATGCTGCAATGGCGTCCCGGTTCTGCCAGCGAAGTGCTGTGGAACGACTGCGAAGGCGATCGCTTCGTGTGCCACATTCTCGATGTAGACACCGGCCAGCGGCGAACCATTCCGCACCCCATTTATACCGTCAGCCCCGACGGGCGAACTGCCATCGGGCTCGATTTCCCCCGCCTGCAAGCCGTGCGGCCGGGCTACGGCTACGCGGGTCTTGATGACCCCAACCAGGACGAACTGGCCCCCGCCGACGCCGGGCTATACGCCATCGATCTCGACAGCGGAGAGTCGCAACTCATCATTTCGCTGGCCGACATAGTTCAAATCGGAACCATCCCCAAGGCCGACCCGCAGGCGAAACATTATTTCAATCACTTGTTGTTCAACACCGACGGCTCCCGTTTCGAGTTCCTGCATCGCTGGCAATACCCCGACGGGCATCGGCTCACCCGCATGCTCACGGCCGACCCCGACGGTAAGAACATTCGCGTGGTCGACGATAACGGGCTCACCTCGCACTTCATCTGGCGCGACCCGCACCACATCCTGGCCTTCTCCGAGCAGCCCTCGCACGGGAAGCGGTTCTACTTGTTCGACGAGCGGACCGGCGAAGCCGAACCGGTAGGCACCGATGTGATGACCCGCGACGGCCACTGCACCTATCTCCCCGGCGGCAAGTGGATTCTCAACGACACCTACCCCGACAAGGACCGCAACCAGACACCGTTCTTGTACGAAGTGGCCACGGGCCGCATCGTCCCTTTGGGTCACTTCTACCTCCCGCCTGAGTACAAGGGCGAGTGGCGTTGCGACACGCATCCCCGCTTCAGCCCCGACGGCCGCAGCGTAGTGATCGACTCGCCCCACACCGGCCAGGGCCGCCAAATGCACCTGATCGACATCAGCGGAATCGTCGGCTGAGCGGTAACTGACGAAAGGGCCGCAGGGCGTGCTCCACCTCGATTCGATTTGGCGAGCCGTGGTATCATCGAAGTTAGGGCTTTTCCCACCGCACCCGCTTTGAAACCATCGTTCTGTATGTCGAATCGAACACGGCACCTCCGGCTTTGGCTCTGCACCGGCATGCTCGCCGGGGCCGTGTTGTGTGGGCTTTCGTCAAGTAGCAGCTGCCAGGCCCAGGATGCTCAGCCAGCGAGCGCCGCAGCGAAGCGCTTCGACGAACTCGACGCCCGTTATTGGAAGATCGTCACCGCCCGACCGCGGGAGGGTACCGCGCTCGAGCGGTGGTATCGACATTGGGCCGACGCAGGACGCGCCGAGGAGTTAATGGCCCGCGTAAACGACGCGGTGCAGGCCGAGCCGAACAACGCCCAGTTGCAATTGCTGTGGGGTCTGCTGCTCCAGCGGCGTGGCGACTTCCCGGCCGCGCAGGCGGCGCTAAGCATAGCGGCCGAAATGGCAACCGACGATTACTATCCTCACTTCGCGCTCGGCAAGTTGGCGGCCCAGCGCGGCAAGCTGGACGAAGCTGCCGCCGCACTGCGTCGAGCGGCCGAATTGAACCCACCGCAGTCGCAGTGGTTGGACATTCACAAACAGTTAGGCCGCGTGCAGCTGCGCGGCGGTCAGCGGCACGAGGCGCTAGCCACCTGGGGCGAAGTTGCCGAGCAGTTCCCCGCCGACACCCCCGTATTGCAAGAGCTGGCCGAACTGCTGGCAGCCGAAGGGCAGTACGAAGCGGCCATCGAGCGGTGGCAACAAGTCGCCGCAAACGCCAAGACCGATCGCAATCTCGCAGTGGAGGCCGAGCGGAAGATCGCCGGGCTCGAAGCCCAAGCTGGACGCCGCGACGAAGCGGTTGCACGGTTGGACAACTTACTCAATCGCCTGGAACCCAACAGTTGGCTGGCGTCCGACGTGCGGCGGCAGATCGAATTGCTATTCGTGCAGCGCGGCGATCATGCCGAGCTGATTGCCTACTATCGCCGCCGACTCAAATCGCGGACCGATGATCTGAAAACCATGCTCGCCCTCGCCGCGGCCCTGCAACAGGCTGGCGACGACAATGAAGCGGTGGCGCTGCTGACGACAATCGTCGAACGTTCGCCCGAGAACAACGACGCTCAGTGGCAACTCATCCAGCTCCAAGCCGAACAGGGAAACTTCAACCCGGCCATCGAGCAGGCGCGGGCGTTCATCGTCGATCATCCTCGTGATGTGGAAGCGATTCGCAGGCTGGCCGAGCTTGAAGTTCAAGCTGCCATTGCAGAAGAAGATTCATCTCTGTTCGCGATTGCTGGCGAAACCTTCCGCAAGATGGCCTCGGTTCGAGCGGACGATCCGGCCCTGGCGCTTACCTCCGCCCAGGTGTGTGAAGCGGCTGCCCGTCAGGCCGAGTTATACGCGGCAGAGAACCCATTGTTCGAAGTGGCCGAGTCGCTTTATCGCGAAGCCGTGCAACGAGCGCCAGAACGTGCAGAGTTCCACGAGCAGTTGGGGGCCTATCTCCACCGGCAGGACGATCCTCAGGGAGCACTCGAAGCCTGGAAACCAATCGCCGCCGGTTCCCAAGACACGGCCGAGCGATGTTTGCAACTGGCCGAGATTCTCAATCGCTATGAATTTCCCGCTGAGGCGATTGCCGAACTGCGTCGATCGCTGGAACACGACCCCTCGCAGACCAAGGCTCGTCAGCAACTCGCCCGCTGGTTAACAAACGGCAAAGCCTACGACGATGCTCTGACTGAAATTGAACACCTACAGCAAACAGCCACCTCGACCGATGAACTCCAAGCAGCGCTCGAACTGCGGGTTGACGTCCTTCGGCTTGCACATCGTGTAGAGTCAGCCATTGCAGAATTACAGAAACAAGTCACCGAGGGCGAGGCGGCTCTGGAGAATCATTGGTTGCTGGCGCTGTTGTGGCTTGAGAATCGCCAACCGGAAGCGGCACTGGCCGAGATTGAAGCCGCCTTAGCAATTCAACCGCAAGACTCGACCTTGTTGAACACAGCGGCGGTACTGGCCGGCAAGGCTGATAAGTCCGCTCGCGCCATTGAGATTTACGAGCAGCTAGCCACGCTCGATCCGCAACGCACGACGGTGCATCTCGCGCAGGCCGCGCGGGTTCACTTGATGCACGGTGAGGGCGAGCAGGCTCGCACGGTGGCCGAACGGATCGTGGCCGAACATCCCACGAGCCCCATGGGTTATCGCCTGTTAGCCGAAGTGTCGGCATTCTCCGGCTTGCCCGACGAGCGGCTGGCGGCGTTGCAACGGGCCGTCGAAGTGGCTCCCAGCGACGCATCGGTGCAGAAGCAACTGGCCGAGTTGCTGGAGCGTCGCGGGCGAGACGAGGCCGCACTGGAGCACTATCGACGCGCGTTCGAGTTGGTCGACTCACATGTCGAACGCCTGCACCTTGTTTCTCTGTTGGTGCCCCTCGCACAACGCACCCGAAATTACCCCCAGTTGCTCGAGTTTCTCCGTGAATCGAATCGTGGGCGAGGTTCGCCGCCGGAGGAAGCACTCCTCGTGGTCGAGGCCATGCGGCAGGCTGGCGAGTTGCAATTGGCGTTTCAGGAAACGCAAAGTCTGTTATCCCAAGCAGGCGAGCAGCGCGAGGTGCTGGAGACTGCCGTGTTGTTGGCCGAGGCCCTCGGCAATTTCGAAACGGCCGTTGATTTGCAGCGACGCGTGGTGCGGTTGGATCCGCATCGACCGGCTCTGGAGAAGCTGGCCGAATGTTCTCTGGCGGCGGGGGATGAAGAGGCAGCCCGTAATGCGTGGCATCGCATTGTGAGAGAACTGGAGGACCCCCAGGCGATTTATGACACGATCGACAGCGAACTCCGACGTGGCGAGTTGATCGCGTCTCAGTTGTTGCTCTCGGTGGCGCTTGAGGTGCGACCGAACGACTGGGGGTTGTTGCTAAGGGCCGCCCACGTGGCTTCGCTAGAAGGTGATGAATCCAAGGGAATTCAGTATTTAACCCGGGTGTTGGATATACCGTCAACCGAAGAGGCCACCGTGCACGTCCCACCCTTCAGTGGAGAAGTGTTTGACTTTAATTTGATTCAAATCCCCACCGACATTGCAGCCGAAGTGCCCGAAGTCGGCGATTACCAGGTAGCGAAGCGAACCCTCGAGTTGCTGGCTCAACAGCGATGGGTTACGAATCTTGCGGTCCGACAAGAGAAGGAACTCTCGAAACGCAAGGCCGACCGGCATCGGGCCGAAGCGTACGCCCGGGTGTTGCGTCATCAGAGAGCCGAGCAACAACGAAAAGTATCGAGTCAGTTCATCGTGCCCGACAATCTCGCTCACGCTAAGGTGGTTGCACTGTGCGGCCTGTGGGAGATCGCTCGGGAGACCGGTGAGTTAGATTTATGGCTGCAAGCACAACGCAACGAGGCCAACGCTCACGTGCTGGCCCGACTTTCAGCGGTCGCGTTTGCAGACAAGCACTACGAGCAGGGGCGGCAACTGTTGGCAGACTCAATCGAGAAAGATCCCGAGAGCGCAAGTCCGCATCTGTTGCGCTTAACGGCCTTCCAAGACGATGCTTCGTTCACGTCGTTGTCCGCAGACAGCAAGTCCGAGGCGCTGGCCGACCTCGAGGCCAGCCAGAAGTGGATTTCAATACACCGCCCTGCCTGGGCCATCGCATTAGCTCCATCGTACTGGAACGCGATGATAAGCATGCAGGCCGGCGAACGTGTGCGGAGCGAGTTGCGGCTGGCCATCGAGAATGCAAACGAGATCAAGCAACTTCCCCTGTTGGCGGTCTTGGCGACACGGCTCAGCGATCTCGTGCTGCAACGGCAGGTGTTCGAAAAGGCCGTCGAGCTACCTTTAGGCGAAGTGAATCAGGCCGAACAGATCGATGCCTTGCAACGGTTGCTCGAGCAGAAGTTCTTGTACTCCGACGACGAACAATACGTGGCCGCTATGATCGCCACGATGGGTCGCTATCTCGAAGCGACGCAACCAACTGCGGAACTTCTCGAAACTTCAGATCCCGGTGCGGCGACTGAGAACACTTCCACCGTGCCACCTCGGTTTCCCTGGGCAACTCCGTATCTCGATGCTCGGCGGCTGAAGGTCCTGTCGCACGTCTACCAGCATTGTGAGGCTGCCAGTCGGGTGTTTGTGCTGCAAGACTACCTTCAAAGTCGCATTGAGCAGGGTGAGGCGATCGATCGGCAGTGCTTCATGTTGTCCCGATCTTACGTGCAATGGTGGTCCGGCGAACTCGGTGCATCGCTCGACACCCTTCGCTCGTTATCCGCTGCCTACCCTTCCGAGGCAGCTTTCCGTGTGATCTTATCGCAAGCGCTCGTGGCCGACGGCAGCCCTGAATTGGCACTGGAGGTTTTAGACTCCTTACCTTCGCCAACCGTTGTCATGGGCTACAGCACCGATCGACTGAGAAGGCAACTCATCGATGAGATTGTCGCCGATGACGACTGAAGCACATCAGACTTTCCCGCCAAGCCGATGAACGCAGTTCAAAATGGTCAAGAAAAAAGCACCTGCTGGTCTCGAGCGGATGGACTTTAGGTGACAACTTAAATGCCAGATGGCAAATGGCTTAAAGCCTCCGCTCTGATGGGTGGGGGAGGTGTCACCCGAGAATTGGCGTAAAGTCGCCAGCCGATAAGCCGTTTCTGTGGCGGTACTAAGACAGCTTAACGGTTAAAGTACGTTAGCAACGTACATATTCGCTCGCTAACTGACGAATTAGTGTCTAATCAGCACGCATTTGTGACCGAGTGACTCTTCTCTGCCGGATCGCTGTTGCTTGTCGAGGGGCTGTTTATGGATGTCGAGCATGCGCGGGTCTACGTCGTTGACGACGAGCCTGCCACTAGAGACTCGCTCACGGTCTTGCTTCGCTCGTATGAGTTTGAAGCTATCGGCTGTTCGTCGGGCGAGTCATTTCTCCGGGAGTTTGACCACGCCTTGCCGGGCTGTGTGGTTGTCGATTTGCGCATGCCGGGCATGAGCGGGGACCAGTTACAGCAGAGGATGAATTCCGATGGGATCAACGTCCCCATTATCTTCCTCACCGGGTACGCAGACGTTTCGACCACGGTGCAAGTCATGCAGCAAGGCGCGGTCACGCTATTAGAAAAGCCTTACCAGTCGAACGAACTGATCGACGCGGTGCGAGAGGCGATTCGCCGCGATCGAGAAATGTTTCGTCAACGGGCGTGGCATCAGGACATTGCCTCGAGGCTAAACAACCTCACCGTTGGTGAGGTGCAGGTGATGAACCTGATGTTGGAAGGAAAGCCCAACAAGGCGATCGCTGCAACCCTAGACGTGAGCATGCGTACGATCGATCGCCGCCGTCGTAGCGTTTTGGACAAGATGCAGTCCGAATCGGTGCCCGAGCTGGCACAACTCATCACTGCTTACCGTCGCCAAGAGGAAACCTCTCCCCCATCGTGACTGCGCGGCTCGCGACCCGTGGTTCCCGGTGTGGCCATTAGCTAGTGCCACCATCGCGAAGTTCTGATCTTGGTGATCGAGCGGTACTGAATAGCATTGCAAAACTCTGTCGCGGCGAGGTGGTCTTTGCTCGCGTGGCCCCTGATTTTTTGCGTTCGATTCGAAAAGGCGCCAGAATGGGTGACACAGCGCCCCGGCGTGTAACCAACTTGGCGCTGTGCTAGTCCATGTGTGAAACCCAGGTTTGGGAAATCGCTCTCCTAGTAGAATGGGCAGAAACCCATAGAAGTCTGCCTACGTATCCTTTTAAGTGCGGCCGCGAGAACGTCGCGACCACGAATCGATCTTAGATTGCTTCCATGGAGACAAGTTGATGCCTGCGTTGAGATCCCTCATCGGTGCCTCCTCGATTCTTACCCTACTCATCACGTTCAGTGTGGTTGCCGAGGCGGGAGAAGTTGCCGCCAGTGAGAGCCGCGTCGGAAAGCAGATCGATAACTTCACACTCACGGACTACCGCGGGCAAGAGCGATCGCTGGATGACTGGAACGACGCGGAGTGTGTGGTGGTCGCCTTCCTGGGAACCGAATGCCCGCTGGTGAAGCTCTATGCCCCACGGCTTGCGCATCTGGCCGAAACATGGCAGGACCGCGGCGTGCAGTTCGTGGGAATCAACTCCAACCGTCAAGATTCCATCACCGAGGTGGCCGCCTACGCAGGGCGACACGGGATTCCGTTCCCGGTGCTGAAAGATCCGGCCAATCGCATTGCCGATTCTTTTGGGGCCGTGCGAACGCCCGAAGTGTTTGTGCTCGATAAGAATCGCGTGGTCCGCTACTGGGGCCGCATCGACGATCAATTCGGAATCGGGTTCCAGAAACCGGAAGCCGATCGTGAAGACTTGCACGTCGCCCTTGAAGAAATCCTGGCCGGCAAAGAAGTGAGCAAGCCCACCACCGAAGTACAGGGTTGCCTCATTGGCCGTGTGCTGAGGCCCGACCCGAACGGCGAGGTTACTTACTCGGAGCATGTGGCCCATGTGCTGAAAGCCCGCTGCGCCGAATGCCATCACGAGGGGCAGATCGCCCCTTTTAGTTTGACGAACTACGAAGACGCCCTCGGTTGGGCGGAGATGATCCAAGAGGTCGTTCACGATCGCCGCATGCCGCCTTGGTTCGCGAGCCCCGAGCATGGCAGCTTCCAGAATAACCCCACCATGAGCGACGAGGAGATTCAATTAATCGACGAGTGGATCGCTGGCGGTTGCCCCGAGGGTGATCCAGCAGCGTTGCCTGGCCCTCTGCAAGTTGCCGAAGGTTGGGGCATCCCCGAGCCTGATGAAATCTTCTACATGAGCGAGGAACCGTTCACCGTGCCGGCCGATGGGGCGGTGGCTTACCAGTACTATCGAGTATCGCCTGGCAATACCGAAGATCGCTGGATCAAGTTCGCCGAGGTCAAAGCAGGCAACCCGGCCGTGGTGCATCACGTGATCGTGTTCATCCAGTCACCCGGCGGCGGGCGCTTTGGCAACCCGCAAATGGCCTACGCCCCCGGGATGACACCCCGCCGTTTCGGTGAGGATATGGCGATCAAATTACCGGCCGGGGCAGAGCTTGTATTCCAAGTACATTACACCCCCAACGGTACAGAGCAGACCGATCGCAGCTATGTGGGTGTCGTCTATGCCGACCCTGAGGATGTGAAATACGAAGTGGTGGGCGGATCGTGCGGCACGATGGCGCTGAGGATTCCGCCGAATGACCCCGCGTATGAAATCACCTCCCAGCAGCGGTTCCGCCGCGATACGCTGCTGTTGGGAATGAACCCACACATGCATCTGCGAGGTAAGTCGTTCCGTTACGAGTTGGAGCACGCCGACGGGACGAGAGAAGTCTTGCTCGACGTTCCGCGTTACGACTTCAACTGGCAGCTGTGGTATAACCTCGAAGAGCCCAAGGTGATGCCCAAGGGCAGCCGCCTGGTTTGCACCGCCCAGTTCGACAACTCGGAAGACAATCTCGCTAACCCCGACCCATCTCAGGTAGTCACCTGGGGTGAACAAACCTGGGACGAAATGATGTTCGGCTTCTACTCGTACATCGTTCCCGTCGAGGACTCTGAATAGACGCAGAATCAACCGTCTATATGCTGCCGACCTGGTCGTAGACCGATGCCGGTGCGCGGCCGTCTTCAAAAGGCGTCCACTGATACGTTGAACGCATTAAAGCAGGATTGGCTTCACGACGCTTCCGTGCACGTCGGTCAAGCGGAAGTCGCGGCCCTGGTACCGGTAAGTAAGCCGCTCGTGGTCGATGCCCAATAGGTGCAGCATCGTGGCGTGTAGATCGTGCACGTGGACGCTATTCTCCACGATGTTGTACCCGTAGGGGCAAGTCTCACCGTAGACCGTGCCACGGTTGATCCCGCCACCGGCCAGCCACATCGAGAAACAGCGTGGATGATGGTCGCGGCCGTAGTTGTCGGCCGTGAGTTTGCCTTGGGAGTAGTTCGTGCGACCAAACTCGCCGCCCCACACCACCAGCGTGTCGTCGAGCATCCCCCGCTGCTTTAAATCGCGGAGCAGTGCGGCCGAAGGTTGATCGGTGGTCTTGCACTGATTGCTGATCGCCGAGGGCAGCCCTCCGTGCTGATCCCACCCTTGGTGGTAAAGCTGCACGAACTTCACCCCACGCTCTACTAACCGTCGGGCCAGCAGACAGTTGGCCGCATAACTGCCCGGCTTTTTGGCCTCCGGGCCGTACATTTCGAACACGTGCTCCGGTTCGTCGGCGAAGTTCGTCACGTCGGGCACACTGGCCTGCATGCGGAAGGCCATTTCGTATTGAGCGATCCGCGTGTTCAATTCCGCATCGCCGGTGCGCTCGAGTTCAATTTCATGCAACTCTCGCAACCCATCCAGCATCTTGCGGCGGCTTTCGCGATCGACCCCCGCCGGGTTGCTCAGGTACAGCACCGGGTCTTGCCCCGCGCGGAACTGAACGCCCTGATATCGGGTAGGTAAAAACCCAGAGCCCCACAGCCGAGAGTAGAGCGGTTGCCCGCCTTGCCCCTTGGTGATCAGCACCACGAAGGCCGGCAGGTTTTCGTTGTCGCTGCCCAGCCCGTAGTTGAGCCACGCCCCGATGCTGGGGCGACCGGCAATCTGCGAACCCGTTTGCAGGAACGTAATCGCCGGGTCGTGATTGATGGCCTCGGTATACAACGATCGCACGATACACAGGTCATCGGCCATCGCGGCGGTGTGGGGTAACAACTCGCTAATCCAGGCCCCGCCCTCACCGTGCTGGTTGAACTTGAACGCCGAACCCGCGATGGGCAGCGACGACTGCATGGCCGACATCCCGGTAAGGCGTTGTCCTTGACGCACCTCGTCGGGAAGTTGCTGGCCCTGTTGTTCATTCAACAGCGGTTTGTAGTCGAACGTTTCCAGTTGCGAGGGGCCGCCACTCTGGAACAGGTAAATCACCCGTTTCGCCTTGGGAGCGAAGTGCGGTTGCGCTAGAACCCCCGGCACTTCGTTAGTGGCCGCCTGCGAAGCGCTGCCACCCATCAGGTCGGCCAGGGCGATACTTCCCAGCCCCATGCCGAACCGGGCCAGCCACTGCCGGCGCGAAAGCCCCAGCGACGAGAGGGGTCCCGTGCAGCGTGCATTGTTCTTCAGGGTTCTATTCATCACGGGCCCGCTCTGGGATTAACGCTTTGTCATGCTCTCATCGAAATTCATCAACGCTGCAATCGCAACGGTCAGCGCTGCATGGTCTGCGGCCGAAAGTTCGCAGTCGCGAGGCGATGCACCGGTATCAAGCAAGGCCGTGGCATCTTCGTTGGCACCTTCGTAATGCGCTCGCTGCGCTTCGAACATCTGCCGTAGGATCTGTTGTTCCCGCTCACTGGGCTCGCGGCTAGTTAGGAGACGAAACGCAACGGGTAATCCCTCGGTGATGTCCTCGGGGTGCTCGTGAATTAATAGTTCGGCCAGCGTGCGGGCGGCTTCGATCATTTGCGGATCGTTCAGCAGGGCCAGGGCTTGCAGCGGTGTGGCCGTACGTTCGCGGCGCGCGGTGCAAACTTCCCGACTGGTGGCGTCGAAGGCCATCATGCTCGGCGGCGGTGCGGTTCTTCGCCAGAACGTGTACATGCTGCGTCGATACAAACCATCCCCTTTATCCGGGACGTAAGTCTTGCCCGTGCCCGACTCGGCCCACAGCCCAGCCGGCTGATATGGCTTCACACTGGGTCCGCCGATCGTGGGCACCATCAACCCGCTAACCGCCAGGGCATTGTCGCGAATCTCTTCCCCCCGCAATCGATGCCGCGGCCCTCGAGCCAGCAGGCGATTCTGCGGATCTTCTTCGTATAGCCGCTTGTCGCGAGGCACCGACGATTGACGATAGGTGGCCGAAAGTGCAATCAGCCGGCACAACGCTTTCGTGTCCCAACCACTTTCGATGTAGTGTCGGGCCAGCCAGTCGAGCAACTGCGGGTGCGAAGGAGGTTGCCCCTGCCCGCCGAAATCCTCCGGCGTCGCCACCAACCCCTGACCAAAGAACTGCTGCCACACCCGATTCACCGCCACGCGTGCCGTCAGCGGATTGCGTTCGTCGACCATCCACATGGCCAGGCCCAACCGATTGGTAGGCAGGTCGCTGGGGAAAGGAAAAATATCCCGCGGTGTGGCCGGCGAAACTTCTTCCCTACGTGCATCGTAAGCGCCACGCGCGAGCACGTACGTCGGACGCCGCTCAGGCAACTCCTCCATCACCATGATTTGCTGCACGCCTGAAACAAACGCGTTCTCTTCCTCGCGACGCTTTCGGAGTTCCGCCAAGGCTGCCTGGTATTCGGCATCGTGAGTTTGAAGGTAGAACTCCCGCAGGCCGTCTTCGGATTGAAAATCCTCGCCAATCAACACCGCCACTTCAGGTGTGGTCAACTCGCGATCGAACAGCTTCAACTCGTCCACCGCGCCGTCGGTGAAACCCAAGTCGCGAAACCGGGCCCCGAGTTGCAGTTTATCTTCACCCACGGCCGAGTCGCCCCACTCGGCACGGTGCATGATGTCGCGAGTCAGCTTGTCGCGGATTATCTCGGGCTTGATGGGTGAGCCATTGATGTACAGATTGACCCCGTCTGCCTGGCTGCTGCCGTCGTAAGTGATGGTGAGATGCGACCACTCGTCCAACGGCAGCACTTCGGTGGCTTGCACGCGAATGGCATTTCCTGGCCAGAAGTGGATCAGCGAGAAGGTGAGTTTGCCGTTGTCGAGCACCAACGCGTAGCCGCGGAAGGCCGAATCCTCAGCGGCCCGCGAGCGATGTAGGACGACGGTTCGCTCTTCATGCTCATGCGGGTTGACCCACAACGACAGACTGAACGGCGTGGTGCGACCGTAGTTGCCGGCGTCTTCACACACATACGCATCGTCGCCGGTAAAACGAATCGCCCTGCCGTGCATCCCGTCGACCGCCGCATTCGCGCCGTTGCCTGCAGGGTCGTCGAAGTTGAATTCGCGACTCGGCTGCGGTACGGGAATGGCGCCGTCGAAACCTTCTCGCCATAGGGCGAACCGCGATTGGGCTTCCTCCCGTACTTGCTGCAACGCGACGGCCGCATCATCGATGGCCGTCTGCAGCCGCTGGTGTTCCGACTCTTCGCCTGGCTTGTAGAGCAGCATCGCCGGCGTGGCGGCGGTTTCGGTGAAGTGGGAATACATCCCGTGTTCGTCGATGTTATTCAGAAACGCACTCAGCTCATAATACTCACGTTGGGCGATCGGGTCATACTTATGGTCGTGACAACTAGCGCATTCGAGTGACAAACCGAGGAAGGCGGTACCGATGGTGTTCACGCGGTCGGCCACGTACGCCACGCGGAACTCCTCCGGAACACTCCCCCCTTCGTTCGTCTGGCGGTGCAATCGATTGAACGTGGTTGCTAGCCGCTGCTGTTGCGAGGCTTCCGGCAGCAGATCGCCGGCGAGTTGCCAGAGGATGAACTTGTCGTAGGGCAGGTTCTCGTTGAAGGCTTCGATCACCCAATCGCGCCACGGCCACACGTGCATTTCGCGGTCGGCCTGGTAACCGAATGTGTCGGCATAACGGGCAACGTCCAACCAGCGGCCAGCCATCTGCTCGCCGTAGGCCTGCGAGACCAACAGCCGATCGACCACCTTGGCGTAAGCATCGGGCGAATCGTCGGCCAGAAAATCATCCAGCTCTGCCAACGTGGGTGGAAGCCCCGTCAAATCGAAACTCACCCGTCGCAACCACACTTCCCGCGGGGCCGGTTCAGCGGCCTGGTAGCCCGTGCCTTGAAGTCGAGCCGCGACGAAGGCATCAATCGGGTTGAGGATCGTGCTCTCACGGTCATCTTCAAGCTCGGGTACCGCAACTTGCTTCGGCAGCGGGATGAAGGCCCAATGCGGTTCGTACTCGGCCCCCTCGGCAATCCAGCGACGCAGGAGTTCCTTCTGAGCGGTTGAAAGATCCTTGTGCGTGTCGGGCGGCGGCATTCGCAGGTCTTCATCGTCGCTGAAGATCCGCAGCAGCATCTCACTTTCGACATCACCCGGCACCAGGGCGCCGTAATCGATCGCATCCTCGCGTCGATCGAGCCGCAACCCGGCTTCGCGGCTGGCGCTATCGGGGCCATGGCATTTAAAGCAATGGTCCGAAAGGATCGGCCGCACGTCGCGATTGAACTGAATCTCTTCAGCCGTTGCCGGACGCATCGCAAAGAGAACGATGACGAGCATCGCGGCGATGGCTTTCATACACCCTTGTTTTGCCAAGTCGAACATGCCGGCTCTACATACGTGGTGAAAAGAAATGAACTCCCACGACACAAGGCAGGACGGTGTATCGTTCGATGCACCGCAAGAATGCCGGGGCGGTCACCTTCGTGAGCTGTCGCTCAAGCCAGAAGGCCTTCCACCAGTTTACCGTGGACGTCGGTCAAGCGGAAATCGCGGCCCTGAAAACGATAGGTGAGCCGCAAGTGATCGAGCCCCATCAGGTGTAAAAGTGTGGCGTTCAAGTCGTGTACATGAACTTTGTCTTCCACGACGTTAAATCCGAGTTCGTCGCTGGCGCCATAAGTAATGCCTGGGCGAATGCCACCACCGGCCAACCACATGCTGAAAGCATTCGGGTGGTGGTCACGACCGTCATTACCCCCCTGCACCATCGGCGTGCGGCCGAACTCCCCACCCCAGACCACGATCGTGTCTTTCAGCAGCCCCCGTTGTTTGAGATCTTTCACCAACGCAGCACTGGCCTGATCGGTGTCTTTGCAATTCTCCTTCAGCCCATTGACGAGCCCGCCGTGTTGATCCCACGCTTCGTGGAAGATCTGCACGCACCGCACCCCGCGTTCCACCATCCGCCGCGCCAGCAAACAGTTGTTGGCGAACGAAGACTCGCCGGGCACCGCCCCATACATATCGAGCACGTGTTGCGGTTCTTGGTTCAAGTCCATCAATTCCGGCGCACTCGTCTGCATGCGGAATGCCATCTCGAACGAATTGATCCGCGTGGCAATCTCCGGGTCGCCCACCTCTGCAAGCTGCATCTCGTTCAGCGCGCGAAGGCTATCGAGCGAGTCGCGTTGCAGCCGATCATCAACACCCTTGGGGTTTGAGAGGTACAGCACGGGGTCGCCCTGTCCGCGGAACTGGACGCCCTGATACACCGTGGGCAGAAAGCCGCTGCCCCAGTTCGAGTTGCCGCCGCTGGGACCCTTCTTACCCGAGCTGAACACGATGAACCCGGGCAAGTCCTGTGTTTCGCTTCCAAGCCCGTACAGCAACCAGGCGCCAAGGCTGGGGCGGCCGAACTGTTGCGAGCCGGTGTTCATCAGAATTTGACTCGGAGCGTGATTGAAGGCATCGGTCACCATGCCTTTCACCACGGCGATGTCGTCCACCACTTCGGCCAGGTGCGGCAGCAGTTCCGAAAGCTCAGTGCCGCTTTCGCCATGTCGGGCGAACTTGAACTTGGGGCCCAGCAACTTTGAGTTGGGGCTGATGAACGCTGCGCGATAGCCTTCGATCAACTCGGGCGGAGGGAGTTGCCCATCGAACTTGGCCAACTGCGGTTTGTTTTCGAACAGCTCCAGGTGGCTGGGCCCCCCGGCCATGAACAGAAAGATGATGTTCTTCGCCTTGGCCGGAAAGTGCGACGACTTGGGAGCCAACGGACCCGTCGCCTCCGCGGCAGGCGCAGCACTGGCCGGGTCGCACAACAACTGCCCCAGCCCCATCGCACCCAACCCCAAGCCGCATTGTTTCAAGAACCAGCGGCGGGCCATCGATTGAGCCATGGCTTGTTGGGGGCTCGAGGTTTGCCGTGTCATGGTTGATTTCCAAATGGAGAAGATTGTGTTTTCGTGTCACTTAGGCCTTGCCGTGGGTTTACGGCTTCGTGATGGTCTCATCCAGGTTGAGTAATACCCGCGAGACGGCCGTCCAGGCGGCAAGCTCAGCGGTGGTGATTTCCTCAGCAAGTGGCTCGGCAGCCGAAGCCGTAGACGCCAACCCAGCGGGGTTCAGCTCTCCGGCGTTGAACCGTGCAGTTTGTTCAGCAAGCAATTCCATCAGTACATCCCGCTCGCGAGACTCAGGCTCGCGGGCAACACAGCGACGAAACGCATACGTCAGTCGCTCGTCGTCGTTCGCCCCACCCTCTTGCAAGGTGTTTACGGCTAGAGCCTGGGCACATTCGAGGAACAGCGGTTCGTTCAATGTGGTGAGCGCCTGCAGCGGCGTGTTCGATTGACTTCGCCGTACGCACGAAGCGTCGCCGTTGGGGGTATCGAACGCCTGCAGCGGCGGATACGGCACCGAGCGGAAGCGGAACGTGTACAAGCCCCGGCGGTAACGGTCTTCACCCGTCGACTCGTTCCAGACCTTGGGGCCGTAACTGGCCGGCGGCTGGAAGAGGAACTCAGGGGCCGGGGGATAGACACTCGGGCCACCAATATCGCGGGTCAGCAATCCGCTGGAGGCCAACGCGATGTCCCGCACGATCTCGCCCGCCACGCGGAACCGCGCCCCGCGAGCCAGCATGCGATTGTACGGATCGATCTCCTGCAACTCGGGGCTCACATGCGACGACTGCCGATAAGTGGCCGACGTGGTGATCAACCGGTGCAGCTTCTTCAGGCTCCATCCATTGTCCATGAACTCAACGGCCAGCCAATCAAGTAACTCCGGATGCGAAGGGGCTTCGGCCTGCGAGCCCAGGTCGACACTGGTGCTGACCAACCCGGTACCGAAATACGCCTGCCACACCCGATTGACAATCGAACGGGCCGTGGTTGGCGACTGTCGATCGACCAGCCACCGCGCGAACGCCAGCCGGGGCGGTGCATCGCTCTCGTGCATCTCGTGCAAGAACGCCGGAGTGCCCGGCTCGACTTCTTCGGCCGGCTTTAGAAACTCGCCGCGTTCCAGCAGGTGCGTATCGCGCGGATCGTCCCGCGCTTGCAGCACCAACTGCGATGAACCAGGAGGATGCAGCTGCCAGAGGGTTTCGATTCGGGCGTTGGCTTCTTGCCATTCCGGAACGGTCGTGCGCCAGTAGCTGAACACCTTGGCTAGGTCGTCTGTGCTGCGGCCTTCCGGACCGGCGGTTACGATCTCGCGCACTTTCTTAGGCAGCGGGTCGGCCACCGGACTATCGGCCGCAGTGACCGAGAGGCGGAACCGCCCCAGGTTGTGGTTCTGGTTGTCGTCGCTGTTCCAACCGCCGTGCTTCTGAACGAGATTGAACGTGAAGACCGTGCCGCCGGGGTTTTCGATCGGGCTCTCGGGCACAAACACAATCTTTCGCGGCAGGTTGCGACGCTCGGGCCCGGCATCGATACCCCAGGCCGTTTCGGCTTTACCGTCGATGGCAAACTCCGGTCCGCCCGTCACCCGTTTCGAGTCGGCCTTGTCATCGTAGATCTTCTTGAGCGGTGTGGCAGGCAGAATGATATCAGAGGTGGCCGCCACGAGTTTGATCTTCTTCCGCTCATCCGGCTTGTCGGCCGGGGCAGCTTCCACTTCGAACTCAGTCAGCGCACTGGTGCCCTCAATCGATCGCCCCGGTCCGCCCAGGGGGAGATTTGGATCGTTAAGCAGCTCCAGACGAAAACCGGTCACTCGAGATTCGTCCGTGCGAATTGTAAACTTGGCGTCGTGCTTCGTGGGAGCATAACCTTCGGCCAAGATCGAACCGTCTTCGAACAGTTCATACTTCTGCCCGCCGGTTGGTACTCCAGCTTCGTCGGCACGAAGCACAACCCATTGCGGCTGGTCTTCCCGCACGTTGGCTTCCCACTCGGCCAATCGCTGCGGCCAGTCGGGATATTGCGTCCGCAATTCATCTTCGATGGCCTGCATCTCGGCGAACAGCGCGTCGCGTTGCTCTTGTTCGGCCGCGGTGTAGACGGCGATGTTGGCTTCGTGGCAATTGTTCAGGAAGGCGAACATCCGGTAGTACTCTTCCTGCGTCAGCGGATCGTACTTATGGCTGTGGCACTGGGCGCACTGAATGGTCAGCCCTAAGATCCCCTTTCCCACGGCGTCCATCCGGTCGAACATCGCCTCCATGCGGAACTGTTCGGGATCGATACCGCCCTCTTCGTTGATCATCGAGTTTCGCAGGAAGCCGGTCGCCACCCGTTGATCTTGTGTGGCCCCCGGCAGTAAGTCGCCGGCGATCTGTTCGATGATGAACTGGTCGTACGGCAGGTCGCGGTTCAGGGCCGAGACCACCCAATCGCGATAGAACCACACGAAACGTGCTTTGTCTTTTTCATAACCGTCGGAGTCGGCATAACGGGCCGCATCGAGCCAGTGCCGGCCCCAGCGTTCGCCGTAGTGCGGCGAAGACAACAACCGGCGGACCAAAAGCTCATACGCATCGTCACTCTGATCGGCGAGAAACACATCGACCTCGGCGATCGTCGGCGGAAGCCCCAACAGGTCGAGGCACAAACGGCGGATGAGCGTCACCCGATCGGCCTCGGGCGAGGGCTGCAAACCCTCGGCTTCGAGTCGCGCGAGCACAAACGCATCAATCGGGTTGCGAACCCAGTCGGCGTTTTGAACTTTCGGCACCGGCGGACGCTGCGGTGGGACGAATGCCCAATGCTCGGCCCAGTCGGCCCCCTGTTCGATCCACTTGCGGATCAGTTCGATCTGCTCGGCAGTAAGTTGTCGGGCCGCCTCGGGTGGGGGCATCCGCTCGAACTCGTCTTCGCTGGTGATTCGCCGCAAGGCTTCGCTGGCTTCGACATCTCCAGCAACAAATGCGGCATAGCCACCTCGATCGGCAAACGCATCGTCTTGCAGGTCGAGCCGCAACTCAGCTTCGCGGTTGCCTTCGTCGGGGCCGTGACATTCAAAGCATGTGTTCGACAACAACGGTCGAATGTCGCGGCGGAAGTCGATCTCCTCGGCTTCAACACCCGCGGGCCACAAGCTGAGTAGACAAATGGCACTCAGCCATAGATGGAAATGTACGGCGACTCGATGCATCGTCGAAGTAACTCTCTTCCCTGGCAGGGACTGCTGGTGAAGCGGTGTACATCCTGTACGGGGGAGGGAGGCCCAAAGCTACTCGGGCTGCCTATCCACTAGGTTACGAGAACAGGGCTCGCTCGCCAATCATTCGGGGGCCAAATCTTGGCCACAAACCGGCGGCATTCGGGATGAAAACGGCCGCAACCCGGCGACACAAGGTGAATCGATGCCGGGAGTTGCAATGATGATTCACCCGCTACACATTCTCGGGGTGATCGCTACGGGCCAGCGTGATCAGCATCGGGTCGGGCAACTCGGCAGCGCCCAATTGCCTCAGCATATTAATGACCTGAGCCGTGGTGTAATGGGCATGTGTGCAGACGTGCAGCAGGATGTCGCTCTGCCGGGTGGCCCGTCTCTTGCCGCCGTTGGAACTGGTGCTCACACGATAGAACGTTTCGTCCAGTGCCTGGGGAGTGAGTGTATCGAGATGAGCCAGCCAGCGGGTATCGAGTTCGGCCCATTTCTGCTTCAGCTCGCCAAGCGTTTTAATTCCGCCATCGCCCGCTTGATTGCCCGGCAGCTTGCCCGGTACATCGCCGGGGCAAGTGGACGAAGGATCGCCCAGCAAGGTTTCCAGCCACACATACTCGGCAGCATACATATGCAACAGCGACTTCCACACACTGCCCTGCCCGATGGGTAATTCCCGCCGCAGTTGCGCGTCATCAAGCTGCTCGGCCGCGGCCACGAGTTTGTGATTCGCCCAGATACGATGTGAGTGTAAACGTTTGGTTAAGGCGGGAGCATCCATGAGAGCAGAACTCCTTTCGGTTGTTGCGAACACTTTGAGAGTCAATCGTATCATTCCTCTGTAGGGAACGCCCTCCGTGGCGTTCCGCGAATTGCCGCACCGCCCGGAATGCAAAGAGGACATTCCCTACAGAAGATTGATCGATCGTTGTAAGTTATGGGCTGTCCCTCGACGAATCCATAATCCGCCAGGCAGTTTCCATCGGAGTGCGTTGCGATGAAAACGGTTGTCTTCAGCACAAAACCTTACGACCGGAGGTTCCTCGAAGCGGCGGGCCAGGCCTTTGAGCACGAGCTGCGTTTTCTCGAGCCGCGGTTGACCCTGGAGACAGTCGAACTAGCCCACGGGTTCGAGGCCGTTTGTGTTTTCGTGAACGACGTACTCGATGCCCCCGTACTTCAGGCCTTAGCCCGGCAAGGTACTTCGGCCATTGCGTTGCGATGTGCCGGTTTCAACAATGTCGATTTGGCGATGGCCCGCGAGTTGGGCATTCGTGTGGTTCGGGTGCCGGCCTACTCACCCCACGCGGTGGCCGAACATACCGTCTGCCTGGTGCTCGCTCTCAATCGTCACATCCATCGCGCTTACTCACGCGTGCGCGACGGGAACTTTTCGCTCAACGGCCTGTTGGGTTTCGATCTGCATGGCCGCACCGTGGGCGTCATCGGCACCGGCGAAATCGGCCGGGTATTTGCCAGCATCATGCGAGGCTTTGGTTGTCGGGTGTTGGGCTACGACAAGTTCCCCAACGAGAAATCTCGCGAATTGGGCGTAGAGTACGTCGAGCTACCCACGTTGTTTGCCGAGTCGGACATTATCTCGCTGCACTGTCCATTAACGCCCGAGACGCATCATCTCATCGACGCCGACTCGATTGGCAAGATGAAAAAAGGAGTGATGATCATCAACACCAGCCGCGGCGCGGTCATCGATACTCACGCGGTGATCGCCGGCCTGAAGACCGGCAAGATCGGGCACCTGGGTCTCGACGTGTACGAAGAAGAAGCCGACGTGTTCTTCGAAGACCTCTCCAACGTCGTCATCCCCGACGACACCCTGTCCCGCTTACTCACCTTCCCAAACGTGCTCATCACTGGCCACCAAGCTTTCTTCACCCGCGAAGCCCTCGGTTGCATCGCCGAGACAACACTGCAAAACCTGGCCGACCTCGAGAAAGACGGAACCTGCCCGAACGAAGTGAAACCGGCGAAGTAATTCGAAGGTGCCCTGCGGATTCTGCTAAGCTGGGTTTTCACAGCAGACTTTTCAACACACGCAAGTGGGGCAATGCATGCGAAGCTTCTCCCTCAAAAGCTTCATCGCCGGGGTCGCCTTTCTCGCACTCCTCATGGCCTACAGCCTGCTGCAATACCGGTATTGGAAGCTGGAAGCCGAGGTCCTCGACCTTCGCAGAGAAGGTGGTCATCTGGTTCCATCAGACCTCGGGCGAGTGAACGTCATTCAGGTGCCAACGTCCGACCCGAATGTACTCAAGTGGCGAATCTATGCCCCACCGGGTACGGAATTCGACTATGCCACAAGAATCGATGACATTCCCGAGGAGGGACTGCCCAACCCTGGAGGTGGTGGAGGCATCACATTGGAGTCGGTTGAGCATGGAGTGTTATTCACAGTCGAGGTTTCAGAAGAAGCCGCCGGAAAATCTTCTTGCAGCCTTGGGTATGAGAATAGGTACTTTCGAAGGAACTCAAGTAGCCAACCTCTAAGCGAATGGTGGAACGGGAACAGTTACGATACCGAAACCGCTGGGGACCACGGAGTAGAAGTGTTTGAGTACGATGAACCTATTGTCTTGCATCGACGCAGGATGTCGGAGCCCGTGGGTGGAGGAGGTTTGACGACTCCCAAAGGCGATGCCCGTGGGTTCATCCTCTGGCTAATCCCGCGTCGCAAACCCTAGCCGGTCATTACACCACAAGCCGTTCCGTTCCAGCTTCGACTAACAATCCCATTCTTTGCACTTAGCCATCCACAAGACAGCAAATGCAACGATTCTCGCTCAAAACATTCCTTCTCCTCGTCATGCTATGCGCCGCGATGCTGGCCTTAGGTTTGGTGCAGTTTCGGTATCGGAAATTGGAATCGGAAGTCGTGCGGCTGCGGAAGGAAGTTGGCCACCTGGGCACCATCGACCCGGACCGTATCAATATCATTCAGGTGCCCACGCCGGCTGAGCCGCTTGTTTGGAAGTGGCGGATCTACGTGCCACCGGGAACGAAATGCGATCGCTATATCCAGTTCAATGGCATCCCCGAGAACGGCATTCCGGATTTCACCGGGGGATGCAGTTCAACCGTACAGTTCGCTTCCACCGAAGAGGGAGAACTGATAACCGTCGCGGCAGTTGCAGGTCCGGATGGTCGCTACAATATTCATTTCACAGGAGGAGATTCGGGCGGTATCTGTGGCGGGCAACCGATCGAAGTGTTTACGGGCAATGGCTCTACAACGACCCTGGGTGGGGATGGTGTGTTAACGCTCGACTGCGATAAACCCATCGTGCTAATAAAGAGAAGGCTCATGGAACCAACCGGTCCGGGATCGTATTCCACTCCCAAAGGCGATGCCCGCGGCTTTATGATTTGGCTGGTCCCACATCCGAAGCCTTAATTCTTCAAGGCGGTGGAATGAAAACCAATTGTCACGCCACCAACACCAGCTCCTTCAGCGGCTCCTCAACCGTCTCTCCGGCCACATCTTCAACCTGCCGGACGATCATCGCGAACAGTTCATGGGCGGCCTCGCGGCTAAACGCGTGACGGTCGTAGTTTAGAATCAGCGACAACTTGCCTGCATAAGACACTGCCGAGAGCGCAACCTTCGTATGGGGGCGAACCGGCGGGGCCGAGTCGATGGTCTCGAGCCGCAGATTGCCGCAGTTCAGCTTGCCACCTTCGCACGGGAGCGGCGTATCACTCAACACGCGACCCATGTTGCTGAGCACCCCCGTGGCGTAGCAGCGAGTGGGTCGGGTAAGAAACTTCAAACCGCCGGGCACTTTGTCGACGAGCGAGACGCCTCGCACAAAGGCCAAGCCCAGGCGCAACTGCTTGATGAAGTTCATCTCCCAAGAGATGCTTCTCAGCAACCACGTGGCACTCGGAAACCAGCCCGGGTTGCGGTCGGCAAACACCATGGCCACCACGTTGGCCGCCGACATGCGTTCGTCGCCGGGAGATCGCAAGTTCATGGGGACCATAATTCGTATCGGCTGCAAACGGTTGGAAGTCCCTCGCTCGGTGTTCCACTTGTCGACGGCCACGCACATTTCGCTCAAGAGATAATCGTTCAAGCTGGCCCCGCTCGCCTTCGCGGTCGCCTTCATTCGCTGCACCTGTTCGGCCGAGAGCGCCTTGGTTGGAAGATCGAGCAGCGTGTCGATGTCGTTCGGCGGAGTGTTCTCGGGCAGGTCTGCCGCAACTCGTGCCGGACGGTGCAAAAAGAATCGCGAGAAGCCGACGACCAGTCCCCATACTTCCATCGGCAGCCGCAGCAGTAACTGGGCCCAACTCAAGCCGAAACGGGTTCGCTCACGGAGTCGCTCCTCGTCGATTGGACGCAACGTGACTTGGTGTTCTTCGCAGGTGACCGCATTGTGATACGCACACAGCAGATCTTCGACGAACCCATAAGCCCCAATGCCATCGCAGCACGAATGGTGAAACTGCATCCGCATCTCCACAGAACCGTCGCCCTGGCGAACCCAAATCCGCAGACCGCAGTTGGTTGTGAGGTCGATACGTTCCCGGCCCGGGAAACGAAGTGGGACCGAGGCGTCGGCGAAATCGAGCGCCGGTGGCACGGGGTCGTCCCACGTCCAGACGAGCTTCTCGTCGTCTGTTTCGACAACTCGGGCCGAGAGCAGAGGGTGTCGCTCCAGTGCCTGCGGGATGGCTTCTTCCAGGGCCCAACGATCGCAGGTGCCGGAGAACTTGAGACGAACCGTGAAGGTCATCGGGTGACTGTCCCGGTCGTCGCACAACATGTAGGTTTCAAACGGAACCAAGGGGAGCGTGGTGGACATGGAATCTTTCCTCGGTTCAAGAGGGCCCTGTGGAGATTCAGTGCATCGCCTTCTCCTGTACTGGCGTAGTTTTTTCCGGACTGTTACGAATGGATCAATTCAAGGCTTCCCGCGGGGGGAATGGGAGAATTAGGGGGAATGCCAATAAAAAACGCCCCCGTCCACACGAAGTGGGCGGGGGCGGAATGCCCATTCACACGCACGGTATCCGTGCCGTGCTCAGTGTCCGTCCTTGGATTGCGTACGAATAAAGCGCTGAGGCATAAGTTAGCCGTCGCGGCATAACCGACTAAAGGGCGGCGTCGCCCTTTTCACCGGTGCGAATGCGAACGACGTCGGCGATGTCGTGAATGAAGATCTTGCCATCGCCAATGCTGCCGGTTTGCGAAGCCTTGATGATGGTATCGACCACCTTGTCGGCGTCGGTATCGGCAACCACGACTTCAATTTTTAGCTTCGGAACAAAATCGACTTCGTATTCCGTGCCGCGGTACGTTTCTTTGTGGCCTTTTTGACGGCCAAAGCCACGCACTTCCGTCACGGTCATGCCGGGAAACCCCTCCTGGGTCAACGACTCTTTCACGTCGTCGAGCTTGTGGGTTCGGATGATGGCCTCGATTTGTTTCATGGTTTCAATTCCCTTTTGGATTCTTGGCCGCGAGCGAAGGCTTCAAGCCACCCCACGCGGCGATTAATTGACTGTGTGTTTGTTGCAATTCTTCCCCGCGGCCCTTTCGAGCGATGTCCCGCGGACCTGGGCGGGTTTGTCGGAACCCACCCAGGTCGCGTGACATCGATTCAATCCGACTGCGGGCCAATGGGTCTCGCGTCCTGTACGTACTCGACAAGAGACCCTGGCATTTGCGACATACTCCTTACATGGGCTGCCCGTAGGCATGCATACCGTGCTCGGTCACGTCGAGGCCTTCCTTCTCTTCCTCAGGCGTGACACGCAGGATGCCAACACCCTTGAGGATGTAGAAGAGGACCATCATCGTGATGAACGCCCAAGCAGGAATCACAATCGAGCCAATAATCTGCACTCCAAGGTCGTAGTCACCGAAGATCCCGGTCGCCACACCACCCCAGATGCCGCACAGACCGTGCACGGGGAAGGCACCGACTGGATCGTCGATTTTCATCTTATCGAGTGCCACGATACCGATCACAACCAGCACACCGGCCACGGCACCGATCACAATGGCTTCGTTGTTGGTGACCGAATCGCAGTTGGCCGTAATACCAACCAAACCGGCCAGGGCACCGTTGAGTGCCATCGACAGGTCTGGTTTACCGAACATGAACCAACCCGTGATCATGGCCAGCAGCACACCGGCACCAGCGGCCAACGTGGTGTTGGCGGCAATCAGCACCACCATGTCGGTATTGGCAGCACCCGAGAAAGCCAACTGGCTACCAGGGTTAAATCCATACCAACCGATCCACAGGATGAACACACCCAGGGCGGCCAGTGGCAAGTTGTGTGGCAGAATCGGCAACGACTTACCTTCCGCCGAGTAACGGCCAATTCGCGGACCAAGCACAATGGCACCCGCCAAACCGGCGAAACCACCAACGGCGTGCACCACAATCGATCCGGCAAAGTCGTAGAAACCCATTTGGTCGAGCCAGCCACCGCCCCATTTCCACGAACCGCTGATGGGGTAGATCAATCCGGTCAACACAGCGCTGTAAACGAGGTAGGCAACAAAACGCATACGACCAGCCACGGCACCCGAGACGATCGTCGCGGCAGTCGCGGCAAAGGCCACCTGGAATAACCAGTCGACTTGCGGGTTCAACGCGCCGGGAATCGGATCGGTGGTTGTCGAACCAATCCCAACTCCGCCGAAGCCGAAGAAGCCTTGTTCATCCATGAATGTGCCCGGATACATCAAGCCATACCCAATAATGAAGTACAGCAAAACACCCACGCCCAGATCCATGATGTTCTTGAACAAGATGTTCACGGCGTTTTTGGCTTCATTGAAGCCAACTTCGACCATGGCGAAGCCGGCTTGCATGAAGAGCACGAGCACCGCCGCGATGAACAACATCATGTTATCGATCGCGTAGGAAACCTCTTCCAACGAGGGAGGAGGAGCAGGCTCTTCCTCTTCTTCGGCTGGGGCCTCTTCTTCCGACGCTGCTTCACTGCCCTCTTCTGTTT